GTAAGTAATAATGATTACAGTAACACCGAAATCACTAGGTGTACCTGTAATGATGAATAACAATACATACACTATGACTTGTATTGTTCATTTCCACACTCAGTAACATAACTAGACACTGTTAGAAGTTCAAATTAACAGTTAATTGTTTTTTCCAGACGTAAAGAAGGAAAAAAAATCAATACCGATAGCAATTTATGAACATGAAAAACTAGTTTTTGATATATTTTCCAGAAGAAACGAGAAACTTGAACCTGGGCTCCTGGAAAGATGTATTATTTTTTTATCCAGGAGTCCCAAAGAACCACTCCCTCTCTCCCCGACAGTAAATCCCCCCTAGAACCGTTCATGAGGATTTGTTTGTTTGTAATATAGCACAAAGGTACACAGTGTGCTAACTGTGCTCTGCCCACCACGGTATCGAAACCCGGATTCTGGCGTTGTAAGTCCGCAGACATACCGCTGTGCCACTGGGGGACCCGTTCATGAGGAACGGGATAATGTTGAGTTTTATTTAAAAATCTGAGGATATGTTTCCTCAATATAATGTTCGTGAATTTTTGTTTGAAAGTCTGTTGATTTATTGATATATTTTTATTATTTTTCTTCTGTTATAGAAAAATGCAGCCAATAAAACATACCGTTTTTGCGGAACTTTCAGCGACTAAGGCTTTAGGAAACTGTTTTAGATGTCCAAATATGATGCTTGTCACATGCTTCCCCTGGAATCTGAGTATATGTATGAGCAGTGCTTGATTTAAAGGGGGTGCAATATGGGTTTCGAGCATCAAAGAAGGAGGCCTCAATTTTGAATCACCTTAGGAAGGGGGCCGCCAGTATCGCAGCATTATGGGGGTCTCAATTCGGCCCTGTGTACGAGAGTACCAGTATAGTGTACACTTCTTACATTATACACAGCTTGAATATATTGTATTAAAACAATTCTGTATCCCCATCAGCGATGTCCAGTCATACTCGATCTAACGACCACGCTTCCTGAAAATAGCCCTGCAGTGTAGTTTCCATTGCAAAAGGCTTCGCTGCAAGGTTGTCATGTCCAAATCACCACTCCTTCCTGTTGCTTGTCATCATCATCGATTAGTGTATGAGGACGATGGCTTCCCATCACCCCTTTCAACAATCTACTCACACACTGGCGGTTTTACCAGTACGTATAGTTATGGAATAGCATGAATACCCAATTCCTTCGTCAGCTGCTTGAGGTATGACCATAAGTCTTATTTTGGTGAACACTTATCTATTAGTCTCATTCACAGAGATCCTTCTTTATTATGTTGATTACTGTTGCCTAGGGCACGTGGACGGTTCTTACCACTATCTTTTGTCTTCGTAGGTTCTCGTCTGTTACAAGATGCCACACTTTGCTTATCACGACTGGGATACGACTTATTGCAAGTCTGTTTCTGGAAGGTCCTGATGCACTTCATAAAACGATCAATTGTCGGTGGCATCACGTCAAGCAATGTTAAAATATCCGATACATGTTGTTCCACCGCGACTTTATATCGGCTGCGGTTGTCACGTGACTTGCTGTTTTACATATTCAAATTCATCTTGATATAAAAGTACTCAAACTTGAATTGGACCCAAAAATACACGCTCCCAAGCATGCGTGATATTTCATTTAAGAAACCAACGTATTCTCTTAAAAAATCAATGCCATACAAAATAGAAATACGTATCCATCATGGGACTATATTGTTTTAGTTCACTGCTGTGAAGTATTAAGTTTGTGTTTCGACGAAGAAATACAATTACAAAATTATTAAGTCAGTGGAATTTCTGTTAGACGTAGTTTGTTTGTGAAGTCAGGTCTATTGGTGAAAGCTGGTTACATTAACCATGGAATGTGAAGTTGAATAAATAAAGTGTTATTGTTAGGTGGACTGAACCTTGCGTTACTCTTTTTTCTTTTCTCCAAGTAAAAAAAACAAAGAACTGAATAACCCAAAAGAACACAGCTGACAGCAGAAACCATTACCTAACTGACTAAATCATGCAATGATTACTCCTAACTGTCTGACAAAATTACTAACTCATTCCAGCCTAACTAGTTCTTTATGCATTGAAACTTGGGTAAAGTTCTAGACTATTATTAAGGTCCCACCAGTTACGTTGTGTTAAAATTCCTTCCTGCTAAACAATGATACAAATTTTTGGAAATGTATAGATTAATAACATAGAATAGAAAAATATCTAATTATCACGGGGTAGTACGAGCGGTGTGCCGGCCTGTAGGTTTGTTTGTTTTGTTTTGAATTTCGCGCAAAGCTACAAGAGGGCTATCTGCGCTAGCCGTCCCTAATTTAGCAGAGAAAGTCTAGATGGAGGGCAGATTGCCAAGACCACCAACCGCCAAATCTTGGGCTACTCTTTTACCAACCAGTAGAGGGATTGACTGTCCCATTATAGCGTCCCCATAGTTGAAAGGGTGAGCATGTTTGGTGATGGGGATTCGAACCCGCGACCCTAACCACCAGGCCATGCCAGGCCTGGACCGTAGAGGGCGCAAGATTGCATCTTTGAAGGCAAGGGTAGATTAGATTTTCTTGCTCAGGGATGCAGAATACATATCTCGCACAGGTTAGCATCAACTATCAGTACGGCCCTGCTAGTTACCTGCATCTCGTTTTTTCCTTTCCACAGCCAAGAGGTCTTGAAGCTGGTCTTCATCCGGACACATGTAGGAAGACTTTTTTTGAGAAATATCTGTTTAAAAAAGAAATAAAAATTTTAACTTCACTACCTTTCTTGCATATTTAATATAATATAGACAAACAAATAGCGATATCACTATTTTAAATACTGAACATTATTTGGTGATATAAATTACACCGTATTGACCCCAATTGACTGAGAAGCCAAACTTTTGTTTAAGAATAATGAATAGTTAGTGCTAAAAAGCTATATATAGTGTTGGAAATAACTATAGAAACGCATGCATGATACACGTACAAGAGTCACAAACAATGAGTAATTGCAGTCAGTTATCATTATTGCAATAAATTATTACATGAAATACAAAAGTAAAGTAAAAACAAAAAGTTGTACAGAGCACTAGTATTTTGAACTTGCTATAAACAGAGCATCAGCAAATCTCACGTTTAAGTTTCTAAATTCATAAACGTGAAACGTCCTTTATTAAGCACCACAATTCACCAAGTTGTTTGGTTGCTGTTTTACCTTCTCAGTTTCCTTATAAGTCCATTCAGTCTTAAGGATATCCAGATCAGGACTTTCTGCAGGCCATCAGTTTCCTTATAAGTCCATTCAGTCTTAAGGATATCCAGATCAGGACTTTCTGCAGGCCAAGACATTCTTGGTCTCTATTTCCTTCTAGTTTTCACTTCACCAATTGTTGAATGTCTGTGATCACTTTCTTGCCGGAAAACGAATCCCTGTCCAACAGGTCTTTCTGAGGGAATGACACGATGAATTAGAATGTCCTTATACCTATCAGCAGTCAGGGTTCCATCAATTTTGCATAGGTCTCCAACACCCTTGGCTGAGATGCAGCCCATACTTATACTGATATCCCAGCATGTTAAACTACAGATGTTGTAAGTTGACTATGATATCATTCTCCTTTATGCTATCAAACAAACTATTGTTCATTGTTTTCAAGCAATTTGAGTTATTTGATCCGTAGAGAGCATTCTCCTCCAGCTTTGCTCATCTTATTGGTTGAAGGGTGATGCTCATTCCAGCCTTTTGGTTTGGTTATCACTCCAAAACAGTTGGTTTTGAGTAACTTCACATCCATTGAAGCCACTTCGTGCTAATGCGTATCTTATTATTTTGGAAGTAGCATTCACACCTGTACTTATAGTTACGTCATTGACAAAATCTCTACTGGATTGTTATGTATCACATAAAGGACATACTTTGAATTGAGGGAAAATAAGACAATTGTACGTTTCACAAATACATCATTTATTACGACCATCGTTTCGTCAGTAAAGGCATCATCAGGTACAGACTGAAATGTTTTGTAGCAGGGTTTATATATATATGTTTAAACAAAGAACCGGAAGTTGTGACTTTGACATTCACCTAAAGAGCTTAAGTTGGTTTGGTGGTTACTTTGGACTTACCTTGAGCTACTTGACATCAATTCTGAAGAGTTTAGGCTTCCTACTTCTACTAATTCTATGATCTAGTTTCACGAATCTTCAGAGTTTCCTCAGAACTCCTATTGAAACATGAACTTCTGCCATTATATTTCATGACGAAACCCTCACCAGCTAAAACTTTGATTTTTTACATGTTTGTCATGTAGCATTTCTATTCTTGAAGCCATGAATGCATTCACAACAATTCTATAGGAATTATGCAGGTATGGCACTGTGTGATTGGTTGGATTGCAGCCAATCACATTGTAAATGAACAACACTTGGCTGTACGTTGGTGCAGATCATTTTTATATGGTAGAAGAAAAGCCAGTCCAACAATATTTGCATTTTATAGCCATTTTATTCACTAATTCCAATAAATATCTCTAATATATTATTTATATAAAAAACTTTAAAAACTAAATTAGCAATTTCTGGATTCCCCTGCTTAAGGAACAGACCAGTATTTGTGTTATCACCCACGACAAAACTTGCAAACAAAAACTTCCATTTTCGCTCAACATATCTTTGGGAATCTGAAAAAAAGCTGTAACTAGTGAAGTTGTCCAATCAACTATTTCGCCACTGACCTTTGCCCTCTAACGTACTTGCAATTAACTTGATTCTGTTTTCCTATAATTCCTTCTTCGAGTTGGTATCATTAAGCTATTCAAAAAGTGTACCAACTCCTTAACTCTCTCAAAACGTCGATTTTTTCGACCACGTGACCTCTTTGTACTCGTATAGAGTCTTTATAGATTTGATACTACTAACTTTTAACATAATATGTATATCTTCAAACAATTTGTTAACTCGAGTTGATCTGTAAGAATTGCGTGTATAAATCATGTAACAATGTGTGGTTATTAAGAAATCATTGTAACAGTACGTTCGTTAATGATAATGTAACGGTATTAAATTTTCATTGAGCCTGTTAATTCTAAAAATAATATTCTTTTTGTTGTTTACCGCATAAACATTCTCAGTTTCAATACCTGAGTTTCATTTTAACAAAACCAGTTAGTATGTTTGTCAAGAGATTACCGTAGAAAGTGAATTAATAAAGTACATCAGAGAAAATCTTACCCCGAGTTTCGATAAGAACACAGATAAAGTAATATTTCACTGACCTTCATCTGACCCATCCAAACAATCACTGATTCCGTCTCCAACATGTTGTCGATCCAGACAGCGAGGAAATCCGCACCCACAACGATGTTGGTCTTCTCCACATTCTGATTGAGGAAAAAAAAAACGTGAGTGATCTATAGCGATGGGAAATATAAGCTATAACCAAGAATACACATTGCATGTTTCTATAAAGTCTAAGCTATAACCAAGAATACACATTGTATGTTTCTATAAAGTCTAAACTATAACTAAGAATACACATTGTATGTTTCTATAAAGTCTAAACTATAACCAATAATACACATTGTATGTTTCTATAAAGTCTAAACTATAACCAATAATACACATTGTATTTATGTTTCTATAAAGTCTAAGTTATAATACATTGTATGTTTCTATGGGAGGGTCAGGTACACCTTCGACCTCTTCCTCCCCACTAACAGTAGATTTTCGTTCTATTACTTTTGTTATTTTTATTTCTATATCGGATGTTTCTGATCTCATATTTAATTTGCTTTCCTTCTAAGATGATTTTTGGTACTTTTTATTGTTTAAAACTTCTGCTTCTTTGTATTGTAGTTTGAACGAGTTTACACCGCAAGACGTCTCCACGGGCTCCACGCTAAAGATGTTGTGTCCACGTTGCTGAGGTTTTATTTAATCCACATAGAATTTTTCCGGTGATACTTCCCACACGAGATTTATTTACCTAGCGTCCATAAATGAAATTTCGCATTGCTCTTTTAAGGCCTTGTCCATATTATGAGTTGATATCATCAATGTTACATAATTACATACAAATCGCTGAGGTAGGTTTACACAAAGTCCTGCGTTCACATTACAGTCCATTGCAGTAATAATGTACTATACATAGACAGATATATTTTAGTATGCACAAAATAAACTCTTTTAAAGATGAAATTATGAATTTATCGGAAAAATGTATTCGTTTGTTTGTTTGGTTTGGTTTGAATTTCGCGCAAAGTTACACGAGGGCTATCGGAGCTAGCTGTCCCCTAATTTAGCAGTGATAGATAGAGGGAAGGCAACTAGTCAACACCACCCACCGCCAACTCTTGGATTACTTTTTTACCAACGAATAGCGAGGTTGGCCGACACATTGTAACGACCCCACGGCTGAAAGGACAAGCATGTTCCATGAAGAGGATTCGAACCCGCGAGTCGAGGGGCCTGTTTGTTTGTTTTAGAGCAAAGCCACAACAGGCTATATTCTGTGTCTACCTTGGGTAATCGAATCCCGGATTCTAGCGTTGTAAGTCCGTAAACTTACCGCTGCCCCCCACCGGGGGAACATACTCTATTCTCATAACAATAATAAACATTTAGTTAATGATAAATATACACCTATGCTAATTAACCATCAAAGTATTCAATCGTGTCATCTGCACTATCAAGCGACATGTGTATGAGTGTCTCACCATGAAAGGTTCTGGATTCTTTGGAAGGGTTTTACTTTTCCATTGTATTATTTTAACGAATTTGAAAACCATTTCAATTTTCCCCGTTGCCACTCCCTTAAACACCTACTTTCTCCACTCTGATTGCCACGAATCCTTAAGATTTCTTGGATACAGAGGGGGGGAGATCCCCACTGGGGAGCTCTTCCCCTTCCCCCAGTAGTAGCCTCCCAGCTGAATGATATACTGAAATTAGTTGCATTAATATAAGGAATCTGGCCAATAGGGATGAATTTCTAAAAACATTTATGCTAGCATTCAGTAGACATAAATAGCGAATCATGCACACGCTCGTCATCTCGTCGTCTCCGTGAAGATACCGAAATTAATGCCACGCGTAGCACGGGGAAATTTTCTCGGAGAACGAAAGTCAAGAAAAACAGCTATCTTCTAGACTATAACAGTTAACCATCAGGATCTTCTAAGCACTTAATAACGGTTCTAACAAATGACTTTATTTCACAAACTAGAACATTTACTTTTTCTAAAACTCAGTTAGCCAACAATCTTAAGATAATATTTACGAAATATTGTTGACTTCAACAATCAGCAGTACTTTTCATACAATATGTTAATTTATAAATAAAAATAATAATAAAACTTTACAATAAGAATTGTAAGTAATGAAAAGTAATACTGAATATAATCCAAATAATGTTTACTTTTTTACTTGTTTTTTCAGAATTTTTTCATGTTAAAACTGAGGGGATTGTTACTTATTTTTATACATTTATAGAAGACCCTTTTCTGTAGAGACTGGATATATGAAATCATCATTTTATTTTATAGTTTTAAGAAACCTGATTATTTGAACTGATAAAAAAAAAGATAAGTATAACTATTGAATTTCCAGAGGGCGCTTCTCTTCCAAGACTTACCTTCATCGGAACCATCGGGACAGTCTTTCCAGCCGTCATGAACTCGACTTTCAGGAATACATAAATTGTCTGTCAGGCACTGGAACTCCTCTTGCAGACATTCTGATACCAAAAAATAACTAAATAAATATCGTACCTTAAGCATCATATTAATTATTTATTTACAGACTTGTTTACTTTTGTAAGAAATGCCAGTTACTTAATAAAAAAAAAAAAGATTCGACCTCAACGTAAAAATCTCATTTTTTCGTTCGTTTCTTTGTTACAAGAGTTTTAATTTTTAGCTATTATTTATTACGAGTCATGATGATACTGCAATGTCTGAACGGAATAAACGGATAAATTAAGAGCGTATTTTTAACATAAGTGAAAAATGTACGTAAAGTTGTCGCTCTTTGCTGAAAAGAACTCATAATACTTTGGTATTACTGACAAAATTAGTGAATACCTAATTAAGGGTAACTCGTCTTTTATGCATAATACACACGCGCGTGCGTAAGGGTTTTATTCACCAGGAAAAATTTTCAAATCGAAATTAAAACGACAAAAAACGGCATGGGTGTTATGAAATAACAACTTTCAAATGTTTGGAATTAAAGAATTTTCTCTATAATCACAGAGCGTCCAGGAGGCTTCGCCACTTGACCTCCAATTAACTCTCTATTAGGTAAATATAACATGAGTATTAAATCTAACAGAAAAAGTAGATATCCTTAGACTGTATTAAATCTAGCTGAAAAACTAGATAGCCTCAGACTGTATTAAATCTAGCTGAAAAACTAGATAGTCTCAGATTGTATTAAATCTTGCTGATTGTTACCCTATGAAAGAGCTCTGAGGTGTGTGTTTAAACAAACTTCAAACACTTTTTTTTTAATACTCTTCGTTATCAATATAGTGTGAGCTGATACAACCTAACACTACGATTTTAAAGTGGTCTTAGTATCCTGCTGATACTGGTCGTGATATCCTGGTGATACTGGTCTTGGTATCCTGGTGATACTGGTCGTGATATCCTGGTTATACTGGTCTTTGTATCCTGATGATACTGGTCGTGATATCCCAGTAATAGTGATCGTGGTATCCTGGTGATTTTTTTATCTAAACTAGTCGCAGTATACTGGTGATACTGGTCGTGATATCCTGATGATACTGATCGTGGTATACTAGTGATTTTGTTATCTAAACTAGTCGCGGTATTCTGGTGATACCGGTTGTGATATCCTGGTGATACTGATCGTGGTATCCTAGTGATATTGGTCATGGTATCCTAGTGATACTGGTCGTGATATCCTGATGATACTGATCGTGGTATACTAGTGATTTTGTTATCTAAACTAGTCGCGGTATTCTGGTGATACCGGTTGTGATATCCTGGTGATACTGGTCGTGATATCCTGATGATACTGATCGTGATATCCTGGTGATACTGGTCGTGATATCCTGATGATATTGGTCATGGTATCCTAGTGATTTTGTTATCTAAACTAGTCGTGGTATTCTGGTGATACCGGTTGTGATATCCTGGTGATACTGATCGTGGTATCCTAGTGATATCGGTCATGGTATCCTAGTGATTTTGTTATCTCTATTTTGTCTTTCAAAAGTGATTCGCAGGATACATTTCTTCGTTCTAGTTGTTATTATCATTACGATTTTGTTATAAACGCAGAGAAAGATTTAACTTATATGTAAATAGGTCACAACATTTACTGTAGAGGTTTCTCTTACATTCACAAATGAAGTCGGAAAGTTTTTAGATAAGAATTATTTTCTCTATACGGTGTCAGAGACCCCTTTGAGGCTATACAGGAAACTTACACAGTCAATGACCCAGAACGAGCTTAGCTACGGATATATGTATGTTAATTGTAGTTTACATACAACACTTTATTGTATATGAAACGCTGTACAAACATCTCGCTATTAACACAATAATATTCGGACTAGCATACTGTTAGCTACTACATAAACTAGGTTATTTCCCAAAGAAAACAACACAGTAATTAAACCTAAGATCACTTATCCCTGATACCTTAATAAAACTGTTGTCTTAGACTTCGAGCTAACTAATACCGTATATGTCAAGTAGGAGGACTGATCTTGTGATGTTGCCATATACGTCATGCTGTAAACAAGAATGTAAAGAATCAAATAGTTGAAAAGGTGAATTGTAATTCAACAGTTTGTCTGTTTTAATTCGTGTCGATTAATAAAATAACTTCGAGTGGAGAACGCCGTACACCATCGTTAAAAAGTTTGTTTGTAATTAAGCACAAAGCTACACAATGGGCTATCT